AATGACTCCAGAAATCATACGAATCCAACAGACAAATTTATGGTATCCTATTTCTTTCGTTTGCGATTTGTTCGAGTGTATCTGCATTACAATATAAATACTGTTAAGAATTCTTTTATTTAAAACGTGCATTCAAAGTTTTTTAGCCTTTTGCGGTGCAGTGTATTCAGCATTTTGCCATATATGGTAGTTATCTAAGCAAAGCTGACCTGCTAATTTTCCTTTCTTAACCCTTTCTAATGCTTTTAACGCTATAAGTTTAAAAGACTAGTCACTTTGAGGATCAATTAAAAAACACTTGAAGGTTGTGGGAACTCATAAGAAAGTAATGTAAGCATGATTCGGAAATAAGGAATGTTTCAAAACTTTGTTGAAAAACAAGTTTAGGCTTGTGATTCTCAATTTTTCCAAGCATCTATTATATTCTGCTGAACGCAGTAATATTTGTTTTGCAAAATGTTTTTTGGAACAGTGCCAAAAAGTATTCAGTCTGAATGAAAAGCAGTTGAGTGACTCATTAATTTCAGGTGCGGGCTTCACGGGTAAATGATAGACGAGGTAAAATACGCAGTTCCCGTAATGACAGATCGCGACGGCAAAATTGGGGCAAATCTTCAGGTATTATTATTGAAATATTGAATATGAGCAAAAGCTAAATTCAAATGTTTGTCGTATTTCCAAGTAGTCGTTATTTAACTTAATTCAGTAATGCATTTTTATAATTTGAAGAAATAAAATATATGTTCAAACATATACATTATTTTTGTTTTTAAAAAATTCGTCACGGTCGAGAGCCGAAATGCATTATTATTCAAAAAATAATGTACCTTTATTAAAATTGAGATCATCACAGCAAAAAAATTCAGTCAGGTGGCAATAATTAGAAACATTTCAGCTAAACCTTCATGCTGTCAGTTTTTAATCATGGAGGATAGTTTTTAGCTCGTGATCATAATTGTTCAGAATGATTAAAGTAAACTAGGAAAATGTCACTCACTTTCTGAGGTGAATATATATCATTATTCATATCGGAAAGTGACATTTTCTTAGCTTAATTTAGTCATTTTGAAAAATGATTTATATTTTATTAAATTCTGTTGCATTAATTTTTTTTGTTGACCACTGACTTATCACCATTTCTTGAACGATGTTTTATTGATTTTCTACTGCTTTGTAGAATCGAAAGTAGAGTGGGGCAGTTTGTTTCCTGGTGATTGCAGGTCTCCGGAAGTCCCAGTGGAAAATAAAGAAGGTATGTTCATTGCCATTTTCCCTGTCGTCTTTCAAGTATTGATTTCATATTATTTTGTAGAATCGAAAGTAGAGTGGGACAGTTTGTTTCCTGATTGGAAGTCTCCGAAAGTCGCAGCGGAAAATAAAGAAGGTATTTTTATTGCCATCTTCCCTGTCGTCTTTCAAGTATTGATTTT